TTTTCAATTTAGCATTATTTTACAGATAAAGCACTAAACATACTTTTTAAGTTTGTTGCCGATTGAGAAACGTTTCGAAAAATAAAAATTGAGTCATAACCTGAAGTGGTATATTATACGCATTAGTTTTGAGCGCGTGTTATACTTAACTTGATAAATTTACAGAATAAAGTTAATAAATTTACTGCAGTAATAAATTTATGCGGTGTTTCTACAAACAATAGTATTATACAGGTATGTTTTATCGTTCTGCCTTTAAACCTGCAAAGAACTGTCAGAACTCACTGACACATTCCAACAGTCTGCATTTACAATCCAAATCATTCTGACCATTTTTAACTTTAGTTTGAATAGCTTTGACTGAATAAGTGCCTTAAATATTAGCCAGCTTCGCAGAAGAAATGTTGGCTATTAGCGAAGCTCGGAACCAATGTCTGAAGTCTGAAGTCCCTTCACGGCTTCCGTAGCTTTAGGACCAATGCAATTTGACAACAATAATTATTCTATCTAAATAGCAGTATTTAATAAAGTGTATGGCACCTGAACTGTTCAATATCTTGCTTGACACAGCTCCATAAATACATTTACATGTTATGCAAATACAGAAATACTGTACATCAGGGCCGCGTAGTGTATATTTACAAAATCGGCCATATACAATCTCGTTCCCCGAGCCTGCGATCCTTGGCTCGGGGAACGAGATTGGGCCATATTTAATTTCGTGAGCCGCGAAAGCTTGGGTTCTAATGTAAATAAATGTGGCCGATTTTCAAAATATACACTAAGCCCTGGTATACAGGGGTCGGTTGTATTGTTGTACGAAGGCCGGATAGCGCTATCCACCGGATAGTGATTTTTTCAAGCTTTGTTAAATCAGTACTTGATTCGGTATAACTCGTATTAAAGTTTAGTATTTATAGGTTAATTTTTTTTTATACTTCTTGTGTCGTCTATATCCGTAGTTTCACACTTTTTCGTCCAACCTTCCTACAACCAGCCCCAGTATTTCTGTATTTGCATAACATGTAAAATGGCTTTCATCCATTTCTATCCCCCTCTAATATATTATCTCACAGAAAGGTCCCTTTTCAAAAAATGACCCCCCTCCCCTCCCACGGGAAAATCCTTAAAAAAGGCCACGATGAATGGGGGGTCTGGGGAGTACTCCCCCAGAAAATTATTGAAATTTGAAGCACGGAAATGCCATTTCCTGCATTCTGAGCACCCAAAATTGATCTAAAATTTATGCTATGTATAGTTGTATTTGAAATAAAATAAGGGAAAATGCACAAAAAGTAAAAAAGAATATTAACCGTAATTTATCATTACTTATTAGAGGGATAATCCCCAGAAAATTTTTGAAATTTGAAATACGGAAATGCTATATCGTGCATTCTGAGCATCCGAAAAATTAAAATATTATTATCAATAATTTATAACTACTTAGTGGTAGAGAAACGTAACAATTCAAATCGATTTTTTTAAACAAGAACAAAGGATAAAGCGTAAACTTACTTTCCGTTTATCTAGGGGGGGAGGGGAGTGATTTCGTGGGGGGAGGGGCACAAGGGGGGACTGGGGGCATCCCCCCCCAGCTTGTATGTTCAAAAAGGCCCTGTCTTAATTGATATTAACTTAGAATACTATTGTTGTCAAATTGCATTTGTCCTAAAGCCCGTGGTTACAGCCCCTATAAGAGCCCATACCTATTTTTCTCATTAAAGTGGCGAACAACACCATCAATAAATTGTATAAACACAATTTGTTTTCTTTCCTATTTCCACAAAATGAAATTGGTGCTTTTATGCGCACTTAATGCAAAATTTACCATTCTTTTCCTGTTTTTCATCAGTTAAATTTCTAGCCGACTTGTATGTTCAAGGGGAGTCAACATATGTCATAGAGCAATAGGATAAATTAACAAATGTCACAGTAACGAGGACTACATACAAATTATCGTCAGATGCAATGGCAGCATTTGAGGCCATACATGATGACTGGGAACTGAACATTTGCCAAAGATATCCACACGATCCATTAATTGGTGGTAAGTATATACCATACAATATATCCATGTTACGTTTAAAGACTCGTCTTAAGACGTTAAATTGGCGGCCTTACATGTCTTTAACTATGTCTGCATTATAAAAAGAGGTAATGTCACACTGCAATTCACAACATGGCCTTATATATGTATACTGTATATGGAAATTGGCTACTCATTTTTACACCTTTTTTCAAAAAAGGTATCGATTTCCCATGCGTAATACAACTGAAATGACTGAAAAACGGCCAACTTCGTATGGCTATATATTATCCGCATTTTACAACATTTCGCAATTAGTACTAATTTTGTGATGCTCTTTCCAGCTGTGATGAAATTTTTGTCTAGCCTCCACTTGTTCAGATCAAAATTTTGTTCATTACCTAATAGGTCTATTGACATTTCCCAACATGCACTCACATACAACCACGCTAAATAATTAACAGTTATTCCGTATTCTTTAAGGTCTTT